ACTCACCTAAAGCCAGACATCCTGGAATGTGAAGTAAAGTGGGCCTTAGAAATCATCACTACAAACAAAGCTAGTGGAGGTGATAGAATTCCAGTTGAGCTATTTCAAATTCTGAAAGATGATGCTGTGAAAGTGCTGCTCTCAATATGCTAGCAAATATGGGAAACTCAGCAGTGGACACAGGACTGGAAAAGGTCAGTTTTCATTCCAATCCCTAAGAAAGGCAATCCCAAAGAATGCTCAAACTACCACACAATTGTACTCATCTCACATGCTAGTAAAGTAATCCTCAAAATTCCCCAAGCAGGGCTTTAGCAATACATGAACCATGAACTTTCAGATGTTCAAGCTGGTTTTAGAAAAGGCAGAGGAACCAGATATCAAATTGCCAACATCCGCTGGATCATCGAAAAAGCAAGAGAGTTCCAGAAAAACATCTACTTCTGCTTTATTGACTATGCCAGAGCCTTTGACTGTATGGATCACAATAAACTGTGGAAAATTCTGAAAGAGATGGGAATACCAGACCACCTGACCTGCCTCTTGAGAAGCCTAGATGCAGGTCAGGAAGCAACAGTTAGAACTGGACAAGGAACAACAGACTGGTTCCAAATAGGAAAAGGAGCATGTTAAGGCTGTATGTTGTCACCCTGCTTATTTAACTTATATGCAGAGTACATCATGAGAAACGCTGGGCTGGAAGAAGCACAAGTGGGAATCAAGATTGCTGGGAGAAATATCAATAACCTCAGATATGCAGATGACACCACCCTTATGGCAGAAAGTGAAGAGGAACTAAAAAGCCACTTGATGAAAGTGAAAGAGGAGAGTGAAAAAGTTGGCTTAAATCTCAACATTCAGAAAACTAAGGTCATGGTATCTGGTTCCATGACTTCATGGGAAATAGATGGGAAACAGTGTCAGACTTTATTTTTTGGGGCTCCCAAATCACTGCAGATGGTGATTGCAGCCAGGAAATTAAAAGACGCTTACTCCTTGGAAGGAAAGTTATGACCAACCTAAACAGCATATTAAAAAGCAGAGACATTACTTTGCCAACAAAGGTCCATCTGGTAAGGGCTATGGTTTTTCCAGTGGTCATGTATGGATGTGAGAGTTGGACTGTGAAGAAAGCTGAGTGCTGAAGAATTGATGCTTTTGAACTGTGGTGTTGGAGAAGACTCTTGAGAGTCCCTTGGACTGCAAGGAGATCCAACCAGTCCATCCTGAAGGAGATGAGTCCTGGGAGTTCATTGGAAGGACTGATACTGAAGCTAAAACTCCAATACTTTGGCCACCTCATGTGAAGAGTTGACTCGTTGGAAAAGACCCTGATGCTGGGAGGGATTGGGGGAAGAAGAAGGGGATGACAGAGGATAAGATGGTTGGATGGCAGAGGATGAGATGGTTGGATGGCATCACCAACTTGATGAACTTGAGTTTGAGTAAACTCCAGGAGTTGGTGATGGACAGGGATGCTGGCGTGCTGTGATTCATGGGGTCGCAAAGAGTCAGACACGACTGAGTGACTGAACTGAACTGAACTGAAAAATCTTCAAAGAAGCTTCTGAATGTCTTGCAACAGAATCCTTAAGGCCATGTGTATGTGAATTATAAGTTATCTGATACTGTTTCTACACATGCACTTTAATTTTCCTTCTTTCTGTACTTCTTCCACATTGATGGTTGGCTATTACATTAAAAGATTCTGATAGCCTTTGCAGCTTTTCAGCTATTGTTGGAAAACAATTTCATGCAAAGGGAGTTTTCCGTTAGACTGTATAAAAGCAATGTTATGTATATTTGCTGATACTGTATTCAACATAGTAGCTTGAACCATGTTCACACTGTCAATAATGTTTTTTTCTTGCTCTTAACTTTTATTCAGAATGAAATGCAATGCATTCATGCATCCAAAATAATATATTGATAATATTGCTTTGCAGTCATACATGTTACTTGAATTTGTTTGCCTAGAAAAGGAAATAACTCATTGTATATCATATATTCTTAAAGTTGGAGGACAAATGATACGAGTAATTCATGATGGAGTAAAATCATAAGCATCACCTAACCAACTACTTGTCTTTTAGTTTTTTCTTTTTTTATTCAGGTTAATTAACTTATTTTTCAAAACTCTGAACACCAATTTTGTTTGAAATCTAATCTACATGACTGAAATATGTAAGTAAATAAGACAAGCAGAAAATTCTTGCTTTTTTTTTTAGTATTCTAGCATAAGGAGACACAAAGTAAAGAATACACATGACACATAAACTGAAAATAAAGAACAGGCTAAGGGGTTTAGGGAGTGCTGGAAGGACAGATTGCAATTTTGAATAGGCTGGTCATAGAAAAAGCGATAATTGTGCAAAAGTTTGTGGGAGAAGAGGTTGTTAGTCAGTGAGAATAACTGGGGCTAGGGAGAGGGGGAAGGAGCTAGGGAGAAGGGGAAAGCTAGGGAGAGGGAGGAGCTAGGGAGAATAATCTTGGACACGAACTTCTGTGTACCATGTTGGAGGAACAGTATGATTTTCACATACTCAAGAATGAAAAAAAATCAACCAAACCCGTGTCATTCAGCCTAATCTTCCCTGATCTACAGGTAACATGCATTGAGTCATTCCTGCTTATAATAAACTAGTAAATGGGCTTTCCTGATAGCTCAGTTGGTAAAGAATCTGCTTGCAATGCAGGAGACCCCAGTTCAATTCCTGGGTCAGGAAGATCTGCTGAAGAAGGGATAGGCTACCCACTCCAATATTCTTGGGCTTCCCTTGTGGCTCAGCTGATAAAGAATCTGCCTGCAGTATGGGAGACCTGGGTTCAATCCCTGGATTGAATATCCCCTGGAGAAGAGAAAGGCTACCCACTATAGTATTCTGGTCTGAAGAATTCCATGGACTGTATAGTTCATGGGGTTACAAAGAATCTGACATGACTGAGCGACTTTCACTTTCAAAGTCTCATAAATATTATTTTTTACTTTATGTACATGTGTTTATATTCAGATTTCTATGCACTTTAATTTACATTTCAATATTTTTCATTATATCATAATCTTCTTCAGGATAAGGAATTGGTTCTCTACCCATTATCTTTCTCTGTTATGTTTTTTTAGACCCAATAGGCATTCAGTAAGTGTTATTAACTGTAAGCATTTAACAAAACAGACTTAAGAGTCTGGGTTTTAAAAAATCTAACTTAGATTTCATGAATCACAGTGGTCAAGTCTCTTGGTCTTTGCCTTAGCTTCCTAAAGTCCAATTGAAAACCAATCAGTAAGTTGTTAGATGTGTGAAGCATTGTATAAATGTAAATTATATTTAAATATGCCCCTTAGTTGTATTCTACAAATATATAAATAAAAATAAGAGAAATAAAAATGCAGAATTCTGAACACAGTTATTCAGGAAAAAAATGCAATTGAAAAAACATGGGAAAAAATCAAAACATTTTCCATGATGTGGCCAATGATGACATTTTATGAGCTACTGATCTGGATTTTCAGCTCTGATGGCCAATTTTTATCACCTAATACCAGATACCTGGTTGTTACCATGATTAGACCCTTGGGAAAGCTTTGCTTTCCACATTGATCCATTTCATGCTTTGTCTATTTCTAGAATCATGTCTCTCATGATTTTTAACCTTGTCAACTTTCATCTGAATCCCCACTTGCAATCAAATGATGAACCCAATACTTAAATAATGTATTTTCATAGTTTCAAGATGCTACATAGGTCATTTACATCAGGAATTTCTCTGATTTGTGTTCTAATATGACTATGGGTAAACCTCAAAATTATCTTGTTTAATATGCATTATTTTAAAATTTTTACAAATTCCCAAAAGAAGTATGAACAAATTTACTCAACAGATTGGTTGAGTAAATGAGGAATATTAGATGAGGTTATTCTAGAACGTTGTTACTAATTTTTCCCTTTCACTTAGCTAAGCCAAGCCACTTGGCTTTCTATGCACTTTAATCACTGTATTGATGATCACTGTGATCACAGTAATCACTGTGTTGATTACTTTGAGTCTAGCAAATTTTATCCTATTTAGAAACATACAAAACATCCTCTCACTCAACTTCCTGTTACAAATTGTACAATCATTCCTTATTCATTCATCTTATATCTAATTATCTATCTCTAGCCATATACTAGACACCGTGCTAGATGCTGGGGATATTAAGATAATTAAGACATTCTCTATGCCTTTTAGGAATTTAAAGACTAGTGGAGGAGAGATTGCATTCTACTTTGACAGGAGCTTTCAAACATATTGTAGTTCTAAAGTGTGGAAAGAGAGGAAATAATCCATGCTTGACAAAATCACAGAAGTCGATATATAGACCAGGTGTATAAGCCAACTGCCTACTTACAAATTTAAAGTTAGTGATATTTTCTCAGACTAATGTGAATATCCTTTATTGCTATCAAGAGAAACCTTTCCCAATATCAGATTACAAAAGAAACCAAATTAACATTCCGAAGGTTTCCCACTGAGCATGGTATTAGAGTAAAGAAATCTGAATAGTCATGAGCTATACTTAGGCAATAATAAATACTGAGGAACTTGCTCAACCCCTACAGTCTGACATACCCACACTGTCACTCAACAGCCAGTCTCTCTAGATACAATATCTTCACTCCTTTATAGTGCGGGCTAGCACAGCCAAATCCTAGCACTTTCTCCTTTCTGTTCCCAGGCTCTTTGTTGTTTTAGAAACACTTATTTTCTTCAAGCCAATTAAAATACATTTCTATTTGAGTGAGTGCCAACCATTCAGTAGGTGACACAAGAATGCTTTCTTGAAACTTAGGTAACTATCCTGATATTACCTTGCCATTTTTTAACTTATTGACTATTTCTTAGGCAAGCCATATATTTAACTGTATAGGCAGCAAAATATGATTTGTGGTAAGCTATTAGAACTAATATAATGACTTCCATATTTGCCAAAAGTGACCTCTTTCTTTCTTTCTTTCCAGGTTGTAAAAATGATGATTATTGTTGTGGTGACATTTGCCATCTGCTGGCTGCCTTACCATATTTACTTCATCCTCACTGCAATCTATCAACAACTAAACAGGTGGAAGTATATTCAGCAGGTCTATCTGGCTAGCTTTTGGCTGGCAATGAGCTCAACCATGTACAACCCCATCATCTACTGTTGTCTGAATAAGAGGTAAAAATAAGATTACCAAATGCAAGTTCCTTGTCACTTCTGGCTTCACTGAAAGCATATAATATTGTTTAAGCTTCTTGGTACACAGTTAAAATTCAAAAGGAAAGGAAAATTGAAAAATTCACTGAGAGGAACACAGAGCTAGGTATTTTTCTAGTGAAAAAGTGAAATGAAAGTCACTCAGTCGTATCTGACTCTTTGTGACCCCATGGACTATACAGTCCATGGGATTCTCCAGGTCAGAATACTGGAGTGGGTAGCCATTCCCTTCTCCAGGGGATCTTCCCAACCCAGGGATCGAACCCAGGTCTCCTGCATTGCTGGTGGATTCTTTACCAGCGGAGACACCAGGGAAACCCAACTCCTTCCTAGTTAACGAATTATCTCGCCTTAACAGTTACCCCCTCAAAACAATGCTCGTGGGGGTTCTAAACAGCTGGTTTCTATATAGGCCAAATTCTCTCTCCAAATCCTCCAGAATTTTACTTGTCAAAGAAAAAGAAATGTCCTCTTATTAAAGGAGGTGAGGTGGTGTGCTCAAGTCCTCAAAGAAATGAAGACACTTTGTAAAAATGCACAGATGGAGAGATGATGGCATATGTGAGTAGACTCTATTAAGAAGGATGTTTTGTAAATATACTTCAAAATAGAAGGTGTCATAAGAGTAACAGAAGCAACACTAAGGAGAAGAATCCCAAACCTCCCTCCAGTATGATGAGGTCAGTGAGTAAGACAGGGTGCAACCTCTGGAAGAGGGGAAGCTAGTTTTAAAGTGAAGTTGGAAAGAGAAGGAGAAATATTCACAATTAAACTTAAGACTGGGAAAAAAAGGTAAACCATAGTTTCCAGATTAAAAACACCTTAGTTATAAGGTCAGCACATGGAGCGGGTAGCGATAAATTTCATAAGGTAAATAATTTCCTTAATAAACCAATATGGTAGCCAAATAGAAACGGGACTTCAAGTAGGTAGCTACTGAACCTAAATTCTCAGCTCTATTTTCGATTAGACATCTACCACATCATTCCTTAAGTTTCTTAAAAGTATTATTTAATTCTTACTTTTTTTCAGTAATTGCACAAGCCATATATCAATTCAAATAACCCCAAAAGCAGAACATATGTTTTTAATCAGCTTCATTTAATGGCTTACAAAGCCAAGGATTTTACACTTTCATATACAATTAGATAAAAACATCCAGCTGAGCAATTAATTTTAATATTAAATGAGATTAATTTATAAATGTGTAATTATTACTGTAAGAATCTATTTCAAAATATATCATTTCTCAAAGCCATACCCAGAAAGCTTAATTCACTTATGCAAATGTATAAAATTATTGAAGAAACCTACACTGCTTCTTTGACATATTGATTATTGATACTGCACTTTTACTCTTTGACGACTTGCTTTTGATCAATGGGAAATTAAGATTCAATTCAAACAAAAAGGACTTAGAAAACTAGTACCAATATTGTGGCATAAATTTTAAAAGTTAGACTAGAAAATTAAATTCAAAAAGTGAGTTGGCTTAATTGCATTAAGCAGAGCTTTCTGTAGAAGTTGAAGGAAATTTCCACTTGAAAATATGACTTTTTCTTCTTGTGGCCTGCTTCTCCTCAGATTTCGAGCAGGCTTCAAGAGAGCATTCCGCTGGTGTCCTTTCATTGAAGTTTCTAGCTATGATGAGCTGGAGCTCAAGACTACCAGGTTTCACCCAACTCGGCAAAGCAGCCTGTATACTGTGACCAGGATGGAATCCATGACGGTGGTGTTTGACCCTAGTGATGCAGATAACACCAAATCCAGTCGGAAGAAGAGAATGCCTCCAAGAGACCCAAGCTTCAATGGTTGCTCCCGCCAGAATTCCAAATCTGGCTCCACCACTTCAAGTTTCATAAGCCCACCCTATACTTCTGTGGATGAATATTCTTAAATCCATTTCCTGAGCGGAAAGAGTAGAGTGAGGCCATCATGGACACCATAGCGTCCACGCTCTCCTGATTTTCAGCCCTGTCCTACATAGTCTCTGTAAAAAAGAAGGGCAATTTTTAGGCAACTGTGTTTCAACTGAGAAAGGTAGCATTTGAGTTCAACAAAGACACTATTAAGGTATTTGTCCCCTCAAAAATAAAATAGGCTTTAAATTTATTCTTTGAAGAATTTAATAATTGTATGTAACAGAAAAATATTTCTGAAAAGTATTTATAAAGAGTTTCATTTGTCTCATTGAAAAATTGCAATATATATTTGTGACACTAAAGTAACATATGATTTCCCCAAAAGATTAAAGAACCATAAAAAATATAATGATGTGAGTGAATAAAAATAAAATCTATACAAAATGAAATTTTTCATCTATAGCTATTAAAGAAAAAAAGTTATATGACTTATTTTATGACTAAAATTATGGGAAATTAAACTCTAAGAGTAAAAATTAATGAAAATCTTTGCTAAAGAGAATTAACTTTGTAGGATAAAAATTTTTTGAGATTAAAGATATTCACCATGAAATATAATTGAAAAAGAACCTGATCAAATTATTAGGCAGCTGCACACATTTTTCTCTTTATTTTTCTGGGAAAGTGGCTTCAAAAGAAAAACATAATCATTTAGTTTTTGACTATTACATATTTTAAAGAGCCAAACTAAGAAATAGTCAAAGATAGAACTTTAAAATGACAAAGCAAATCCCTATGACCCTCCTTATTTTATTTTTCAAAAATATTTGTAGGTTTAAGAAAAAAATAGATTACATAATAGTAAAGAGGCTTTCTAATGAATAATGGAAGAATCTCATTTATCTCTGAAACTGACTACCAATTTTTAGGCAAGAATTAAAGATACTAATTCATAGTTATTATAGCAGACAAGAGCATCTATTAGCTCCAAAGGAAAATGTATTTTTCCTCCATAACCCAAGGAAAAAGTTTAAGGTGAGTATTAACAATTGTATAGTGCCCTTATTCTCTCTCCTTCCCCCACTGGGGGAGGGGGGGCGCGGGGAAGAGTAAGGACTAGGAAAAGGTATCAGAAAATATATTTAAATACAAAGCCTTAGGACAAAAGTCTATGTACTACTTATATGTGCTTGTTTGAGTGCATGCTAAGTTGTTTCAGCCATGTCTGACTCTTTGTGATCCTAAGGACTGTAGCCTGCCATGCCCCTCTGTCCATGGGATTCTTCAGGCAAGAATATTGGAGTGGGTTGCCAATCCCTCCTCCATGGGACATACTAGTATACATATAGGTAAATCAAATAAGATGTAGAAAATGGAATCAACTGTTAGAATAAAAAGTTGGACAAAATGTGGATATATGTGAACTAATACCAGGCAACAGGAGTATAATATACATATTTCTACAGAAAGAGCCTTCCTTTATCTGCTTAGATAATTCAGAAATTCCCCCAGAAAGAAATGAGCTAATGGTCCTAAAGAAGAATCTGTTTTACTATAAGAAAAATACTGACACATTTCTGAGAGCTATAACAAATCAAGGTACACCATTAACTGTGGAATTTATCTTCCAGACCTCAGTGCTCAGCCATCTTTTCTTGAATTAGAGATATCATCAATCCAGCTCAAGAAAGCAGTAACCTTCTGAGAATGTGGATGTGTAGTACAAACTTCTCCTTCCAAATATTCAGATAGATTTTTAAAGCTATCCAACTATAATTGCCTGTGACACCTTACTGGATTGGTATGCCTCCATCAATATAGGACCATTTTTCTTAAGAACAAGATAAAAAACAATTATTTCAAGAGAATACATGGTGTTTACTGCCAAAACATTAAATTTTCCAATCTTCCTCCCCTGTTTTGAATCCAGCATCAGAAGTATCTAATTGTTACAAAGTGTTAAATGTCTAAACACCACTATCATAAGTGTTTAAGCTACATTTATTTTAATTACACTAATAAACAAACAGATACACATATATACATAAACATGCAAGTGTGCAGACACATACAATAGGTTTAATGTATGCAAAAACTTCAAAGAATTAAATTCAAAATTGAATGCTGAAATAGTAAGTGGCCCTTACAGAGTTGCCACAAACAGCTCAATAAAGTATGTGAAGTTTGTATGCATGTAAGCTTGTAAGCAAATGTATTATTTAGTCCCTAGTCATTGAATATAGTGTTTAAGTGTTCATTCCAAAACATGTAAATGCTTATCATACAATGTGAAAATATCAAGAAAAAGCCTAACATTTTAAAGCAGATATTTCTTCTTCTTAAACTTATGAATGATTGTGAGACCAGCATTAATCAATACATGCGTGGGACCATATTCAGCTGTAGATTAGAATGTGAAATCTGGCCCTCAAATTCAGTGTAATCAGCCATTACCAAAGCACATTAATACATCTGAAAAACATAACTCCTGCCTTCATGCATTACAGAAACTCAATGTAATTTCGTAGGACATCTAAGGGAAAACATCGCTCCAATCAGCTGTTTTGTATGTTTTCTTGTTGTTGTTGCTTTGCTTTGCTTGCCAAGGATCATCCTTCTGGCATGGTGAAAATACCTGAGGTCCAGACCGTATCCTTAATACTTTTACAGAAAACTGACATCATTAACTCAATGTTCATGACTCTTAAACCGAGACCTTATAAAGCAGAATATTTTAAGTTCAAAAATTTGAAAAGTAATAATAACAAAATAAATGAGTACAATATGAAAGAATGAAAGAGATAAGATTTTAGTCCTTTTGTCTGAATCTTCACGCTGAGAACTGTAGAATAACACATGGAAACCCGCTTTAGTAGGTGTCATTTTAAATAAAGCTGTGCCAGTGTTTTCATATTTGTCGGGGTTTGGAAGAATTAGCCTCCAAAGTTCACTCTACTCTCTGATGTTCAAGTTCACTGTGAATCTTTTTCATTGTTTGTAGGCAAACACTGACTGGAAATACCAGCAGATGGTCAAAACATTCTAGAATTTTTTGTAACTAGATCAGCAGCAGCAGAATACAAACTATTTTGAGAGCACTCTAAAATTTCTCAAAAAAAGATTCAAGTAAAATATTCTTCTTAAAGACAAAAAATAACTAACATTGTATTTTCATTATTTTGCATCTGGACAAAATATTTTTTAAATAACCTGCATGGGAAAAAAATTAAAGCAAATGCGATTACTACAGAATACAAGCTAACAGCTTTCATTTTTTTAGCAAGCTCAGTATGCTGCTGCATTATTCTGTCTTCCAAATTCATGATGATGACATTTCTGACCCAGCAGCCAAATTCATATTCTTTTCCAGATCTAGCCAATCTCTTATAAACAGAGATCCTAGGTACTTCAAAGTGAGCTCCATCCTTACAAAGCACACAGAAGAATGCCAAGAAGCTTAGTATCAAACCTCAGAAGCACAAAATACATGTGAAAAATCAATGCTAGCTAGCTCAGAGTTTGAATTTGATTTTTGTCAATCCTGAATTCCATCAGAAAACTGATTAGTGTCTGGCAAATTATTCCATCAAATATAAAGGCAGGAGAATTATAGCGATTTCTCACACTTTTACCAGTAACAATCTGAGATACCACTTATTGCTGACACTTCGGGCCAAGTATGAATGGAGAATAATGTCCAATAGTAACTGTGTGTTGTAAATAGCTTGGCAAAATTCTGTATACATAAGAAATAAGTGTATATAAGGTTTGTAGCTAGTGAATAAAGTATTTTCAAGTTGTGATAATTATACTGAGCATTAATAGATTTAATACATTCATTATCCTTTGTATGTGTGGTATATGTAACAGATTTATTTTTATTTTCCTTTAAAATTATTAAAAATAATATTAAAAATAAAAGCAGTCAATATTTTCCTACTGGTTAGCAAAACATGTTATAGAAAGTTCTATCTTATCTAAACATACCTAACCATCCCTCAACACTATCTTGTGCTTCCTCCCTTATTTTTCCTCATAAAATGTCTAGTGCTACTGCTAAATTGCTTCACTCATGTCCGATTCTGTGTGAGCATATGGACTATAGCCCACCAGGCTCCTTTGTCCATGGAATTTTTTAGGCCAGAATACTGAAGTGGGTTGCCATTTCCTCCTTCAGGGGGTCTTCCCAACCCAGGGACTGAACCCATGTCTCCTGTGTCTCCTGCATTGGCAGGCAAGTTCTTTACCACTAGTGCCAGTTAGGAAACCCCATAAAGGTCTAGTTTTCCTAAATTACTTTGGTTCAGAAAAAGCATCTATGGGGAGCAAAGATATTAAACTGTAGAATAATATTCTGAATAGAAAGCAGGAGCAGATTAACTGGAACATAGACCGAAAAGCGCACATAGCTAGAGGGCGGGGATAGACAGTGGACTTGTAGACAAGTGGGGAAAGAGAGGCGGCATGACCTGAGAGAGAGCACTGACATAGATCCACCACCGCGTGTAAAGCAGATAGCTAGTGGGAAGCTGTTACACCACACAGGGGGCTCAGCCTGGTGCTGAGGACCTCTGGGGTGCGATGCGAGGGTGGGGGTAGGAGAGCTCAGGAGGGAGGGGATATGTGCATACATAAGGGGGATTCATGATGTTGTATGGCAGAAGCTAACCCAACGTTGAAAAGCAATTATTCTCCAGTAAAACAAGTGCATGTAGCTAAGTATGGAGCACAGCATCTTAAAGCCATGGCATCAGAGCCATAACTAGTGACAGATTCGAGTTTATACTTAAGCCCCACCATCTGCTAGCAAGGGGACCTGGGGCAAGTGATTGTTCTGAGCCTCACTTAACTCATCAGTGAAAAAAGAAAATAGTAATTTCTTCAAAGTGCTAATGTGAGGGTTGAATGAGCTAGTGCATGAATAAGGCAGAGTCAAACATTAAATAACTGTTCAAAAACATCATTGGTGTCGTTGTGTTTAAGGGGGGATTAAAGAAACCCTTGTTGCCTGTATCATTCTGCCCTTATCCAAAGA